ACACGGCACAACTCACAGTAGCTTTATTTGTATTAAAACATAGAAACAACCCAAATGTCCATCAACATCCAGACAGGTCCATAATTTGTGATCCATTCATACAACGGAGTGCTACAGAAGAGGATGAAGGACTCCCACTACCATGCTACATGGATGAATCTCATGGACTTCTACTGGAAAAAAGCCAGATTCAACGGTTTTATTTATATGAAGTTAATGAATAGGCAGAACTAATCTATGGTTATAGAAGCAAAATCATAGTTATATTTGGGCTTTTTTCCTCAGTTTTTACTGGGAAAAAGAATGAAAAAGCTTTCCAGGTGGCCGGAAATGTTCCACCTCTGGATCTGAGCAGCAGTTACCCAGATTTCTATTTCTATATGTAAATACAGATAGATATATAAAACTATGAACTGTATACTTAAGATCTGTACCTTCCACAGTAGTAAGTTACACATGAGTAAACAAGTTAACAAAAAATGTAAAAGTTCTCTAAGAAGCACCGCTTTATAGGAAAGGGAGCGTATGTATATTCTTATGTTAGTTTTCTAAAGGGAAGAATATTAAATGGAGAATATCACTATTTTTTAAAGCTACTATTAGATCTGGGCATTTTGGAAAAGGAACTCAACTGACTGATAAAAGGCAACTTTCTGATCTTGCACCCTGAAATTAGACCAGGAGCCTTTGCGCCACGCTAGTAAGCTGTTTAGAGCCGTTAGGCTGTGTTTCCTGGTACTTGTGGAGCAGATTTAACAGCTTCCACCTTGGTGTAGAAACAAAAATAAATCTGCACATTTCCAAGAAAAACAAAAGAAATTCATCTCTACCCTCAAATCTGCTAAATAAAAGCATTCATAGGAACTGCACATAGTTCAATGAGCTAGAATTTAAAAACAGATTCAGCTTGCCAGCATTCTGAGTATTCAATAATAGCAGTGGTCACCTGGGGCAGCGGAAATAACATGGTAACGATATTTTGAGAGGTTCCTGGAATCAAAACATGGGTCAGATTTTTCCCCTTTCCCTTTGTTTTCAGCAAAAACTAGTTATTCTCATAGGGACCATGGATAGTTATTTTCTCAGGCTATAATATCCAAGCATAGGATATTTCTTCCCACATCTAGCCTGACACGAGTAGAGAGAAAAATAGTTTGGTGTCATTAGTTTTAAGCCAAGAGTGAGAGCATACTCAGCTCTGAAATGGGAAGAACACAGGACTCCAGGGACAGATCTAAGTAAAAACAAAAACACCTTTTATTTAGTGATTGGTGGTGAGATCTATTTAGAAGCAAGAAAATATAAAACAGTGGTAAAGTAAATGGAAGAACACAGACATTTTGATATTTATCTTGTCACAGTAAATTGTACGAACATGATCACAAAGGATAATAGCAGTTCGCTGCAGTTCAGGATTTGATACAAATCTTTAAATGTGTGGATTTTTTTTTTAAAAGGCATCCAGCAAAGTCAGCTACTACAAATGAATACAGAAATAGAGTGGTTAGCTTTAAAGCCTTTTTACAGTTTTGCTACTAGGCATGAAAAATCAAAATTACAGAGTAAGATATTTTTGTGGCTCCTTGATACTATACAATGAAGGACTGTTCATCTTTCACTGATTTATGGCTTACTGATTTATTTACAACTTTATGATTTATGAGTAGCTCAAGTCTTCAACATCAGAGTAAGACATTTCTAACTGTGGCTCTCTGGGAGAAGGCCAGGATGAACTTGTAAAAAATCTATATTGCAGAATTTAAAAAACAAATGCAGCCGCATTTAGATATAACTCATAAATTACATTTAGAAAGCACTAGCAAATTGAAGTCCTTAGTGGCTTTTTCTAATGAAGAGATTAAAAAATGAGTTATGATTAGCACAGCTGTTCTTGGTAACCAACTCATTATGTATAACAAATGTGACTAATAATACTATTAATTTTCTTACAACCTCCCCCTTTGTTGATATTGTGAAGATAAAATATTCACAAATTGAGAGTTTCATTCAAGGCAACTGTACTTTATCTGTTTTAAAAGGATTTGGGAGTTTGCCCCCCTCCCTATATCAGTTAAGTTTATTAAGTGAAAAACAGACATTGTGACTGATTCTGACTACTAATATCAATGAAAATTTTCCACGAAGTACAAAATAAAGTGCTTAGTATGTTATCAGCTACAGTCACAGAACTATCCACAGAACCATTTAAAACTACCTAGGCTTTTCCTGACCTTCTTAAGACAAAATTAGCTGTTATTTGTGCTTATTTATTTCCTCTTTACCAGGACACTTATCTACCAATATTACAATTCCTAGAGAATTAGCCTATCTCTATTAGATAGACTGTAAGCTCTATGAGGGCAAGGACTGTATTAACACAGTCCTATAGTATCATACTTTAATGTATGTATATAATAATACTTACATAGTAAAGTATGATTATACACTACACACACACAATGTATCTTGCACTCGTCAACTGTAATGAATTATTCTGATATGAATCCTTCCCCACTAGATGCTCACTCAGTTCTATGTTTGTAATGCTTGCCATCTCTCTCCCTAACTAGTCACCTAATAATGTGTAGGTTAAACAAATGTCCAAAGCCTAGCAGAGTGCTGGCAAAGGCAACAATTTGGTAAATTAATGAATTAATTTTCTAAAGCAGACAAAACTTTCCTTTTTCCCAGAGATGACTGGATGTTCATCAAACTCTCAGATGATAAGAATCATTCTAAGGTAGACAAATGGACCAGACTTCATGTCTTCAAACTCACAAAGTTAATCTCAGATACTTGTGCATTCGAAATTCTTATTGGGGGGGGGGTCTCAAATCCACCCATCCCTAAATGGGCTTCCAAAAATTAGACTTCTTTTTTTTTTTTTTAAGATTTTATTTATTTATTTGACAGAGAGAGAGATCACAAGTAAGCAGAGAGGCAGAGAGAGAGGAAGGGAAGCAGGTTCCCTGCTGAGCAGAGAGCCCGATGCGATGCGGGGCTCAATCCCAGGACCCTGGGACCATGACAGAGCCGAAGGCAGAGGCTTTAACTCACTGAACCACCCAGGCGCCCAGACCTATTTCTTGACAGAAGAATGTATCTCCTCTAGGAGGGTCTCTCATTTCCTTTGCTAATTATATTTAGGAGAATTATATAGAAAACAAAGAGAGACGGAAGAACACTTAACTAAAGTCTTTTAGATCAACTGAATCCATACAGGCAACTGATAAGGACAGAAGTCTACTTTTATGTCACTAAAAACAAAATATAAACTGAAAAGGTAGCAGGCAAAAGAACATCATCAACTCAAAGAGTATACAAAGACTTAAATTATTTTAACTGAAAATCCATCATATCATGAAACATTAAGATGTAGCATCTTAATCCAAAAATTATCATTACTGAGTGGTCATTAAGTAACCACTAGAGAGCTATCTCATTTGTGACTTCAACTTTAAAATCCTCCACTGTACTCAAACACAGACTATATATTCAAGAAGAAAGGAAAGGAGTTTAACTGGAGTTAGAAATAATACCCCCAAGCCCACTTAAAATGTGAACATATTTAGTACTTCACAAAAACCACTGAAGCCTTAATTCTACACATGAAACAATTTCTTGAGGCTTTTAATCACGAGAGCTCAACTGAAAGGCTCTAGCTCATTAGCCACCTCCTGTCTACACTGGATGCCTCCTTTCCTGTCTCAGTGCTGCCCCCTCAGGCTTCTGGATTCCCTCACCGAGGGGTTTCCCCACCCTGCAGGGCCAATCCCAGTCCTGGAAGGCGCCTTCTTGCAGGCTGCCCACTGGCCAGAAAGGAAGCAGCAGGCTGACCTGAGCTAATTAGAGATGATTGCTCTTGCACTTCATCCAAAATTTGATGTGGATTGTTGATGCAATTTTTCCAGCCCTCACCAAGCCTCCAGCAATCCTAAATATAGATCTATGGAAATGTACACTGTAATGTGAATATAACCATGAAGACGGTAAGGTCAAAGACCTCAGGCCACCTTTCTGATTTTTGGCTTTACGAACCTAAATGTGTGTTGGAGTCCCCTAGATAGGTGTTTCTTATAAAAGGAAGAGAAGCAGAGAAGTGGACAGGGAATAAGTGGTCAGGACAGCTATATAAAAGCACCTGAAGAGGAATTCCACCTGTAAGATTCTTCATGAGACTTCTACCCACTCACCTCTTCCCAGGACAGGCACTCCGAATCTCAGTTCCTCAAGGAACTCTCCCCCTGCCTTTATTATTCACAGCCCCCCGCTCCAGTCCTGTAGAATGGTTGTTCCACCTCTGGGTCCTTGCTCTCCCTTGCCCCTAAGTCTAGGGGGTTCTGTAGTTCTTTCTTCACTTACGTAGAAATACTACTTCCTTCAAAAGCCTACAGTTTACTTGAGAAGCTTTCCTTCACTACATCTTATCTAAACCTTGAGCTCCCTCTCCCTCCATGCTCTAAAAAGAGATACCTAAAAAGGAGATATCCTAAAAAGGATACCTCTGTGTTAAGCAAACTCATTTGTTACTTTTTCATGTTTTGTGACTGATTGTCACTTGTTTTTCATATGCACTGATAATCATCTTGACTCTTTCCTAACTTCATAATCCAACATAGTTTTTAAGATAACAACTAAAGTATAGAGTCACATGAAAATGATGCTTTTAATAGGTGAAAAATAGTCAAATGTCAGCAGTGCTATAAGGTTCACCTTATATATACAGAATCAAGGAATGCTCTTAAGTAAGTATGTTACCTTTTTCAAGGCATTTAGACACTGCCCCACAATGGTTAAGTCTCCCCTAAATCCTAGAAAAAATTTCTTCCCAAACTGATTCAAGACTTTAGTACTTTTTTTTTCACATGTTGTTTGTTAGCTATTATAAAAAAAACAAGCAATATTTTTTGTGTAATTGAAATAACAAAGAATTTCATAACAGTTCTAAAAATGCAGTAATAAAGGAGAACTCAGGTTGAATAATAAAATCTTGAGCTTACCTTCTTCTGTAGGATTAAACCCACAGATGTCACAAATACAACGAACCCACTTATTCATCTCTTCCTCACTGTCTGCTACCAAGTAGAATATTCGGTCAATGGTGTTGATATCAAAAATGTAGCTGTTTTCAAACTCTTTTTTATTAAATGTCAACCCAGCATCAACTTGCTGACATAAGTTTAAATCAATAATACGGATAGGCTTCTTGGCATGATCATTTTTGTAATATTCCAAGACATCTGGATCTCCAGTTAAGCGACCACTGCGTAACACAAACCATCTCCTCTTCCATGCCTAGGAACAAAACAAAAATATCCATCTAGTATTAATTTGACAGAAGTTTTTCAAGAGAGTGCACACTTATCAGACTAATTTTACAAATGCGTTGTCTAGAGAAAGTTACATACACGTTTTCTTTGTTTCGACAGAATAATCTACCACTCCAGCAAAATTTACTGATGCCTCAATTAACTTAATAATGTGTCTATATATACACATTTTATGTACTATTAGACCTTTTAATAGAAGACTGAAAGACACTGATTGATATCAGAAGATATTACATTGATATGTAATATCAAGTCAACGAGAAAGACTTAGTTTTTACTAAATATAAAAAAGCAATGGTTTCAACAAATGGAACCAAAGTGGATATCCACATGTAACAGAATTAAGTTGGACTCTTTACAACATACAAAAATTAACTGAAAATGGATCAAAGACTTAAAGGTAGGAGCTAAGACCATAAAACTCTTAGAAGAAAACAGGGAAAAGCTTCATGGATATGACACCAAGAGTGCAGAAGAAACACAAAGAAAAAAAATAGGTATACATCAGAATTTAAAACTTAACATATTGAAGGACTCGATCAAAGAGTGAAAAGCTAACTCACAGAATGAGAAAAAATATCTACAAATAATTTATTTGATAAAAGATTAACATCTAGAATATATAAAGAATTCCTACAACTCGGTAACAACAAAAATAAATAATCCAATTTAAAAATGGGCAAAGGATTTGAACAGATTCTCCAAAGATATATAAATGACCAAAAAGCACATGAAAAGATGCTCAACATCACTATCATTAGAGAAATGCAAATTGAAACCACAATGAGATGCAACTTCACATACGTTAGAAGGTCTGTTATCAAGAAAGCAGAAAATAACAAGTGTTGGCCACGGTGGCAGAAATTGGAACCATTGTGCATTGCTGATGGGAATGCAAAATGGTGTAACTGGTATGGAAAACGGTATGGCAGTTCCTCCAAAGATTTCAGTTGAAAGTAAATCTTTAAGAGAATTGAAAGTAAGGTCTCAAACAGGTATTTGTACACCCATGTTTATAGTAGCATTATTCACAACAGTCAAAAGGTAGAAGCAACCCAAGTGTCCACTGTTGAATGAAGAAATGAATAACATGTGGTATACACATATAATGGAATATTATTCAAGTCTTAAAAGGGAATAAAAATCCAATACATGCTGTAACATGGATGAATCTTGAGACGTGAAATAAGCCAGTCACTAAAGGACAAAAAACTGCACGAAAATAAGTGAAACATGTGATAAGTGAAATAAGCCTGTCACTAACAGACAAAAAACCATATATGACCACTTATATGAGGTACCTATTGGTAATCAAATTCATAGAGACAAAATGCAGAATGGTAGTTGCCAGTGGCTGGAAGGCAGGGATAAAGAGTTAGTGTTTAGTGGGTACAGTTTTAGGAGAATATACAGTTCTGGAGATGGACAGTGGTGATGGTTACACAACTTAGTGAATGTACTTCACGCCACTGAAACTGTACACTTGAAAATGGTAAAAATGGTTAAAATGTTAAATTTTAGATTACTTAGGTAAGATTAGGTATATCTTACCACATTAAAAAAAAAAGCAAAGTTTTTCATGCCTTAATATCATGCCATAAAGAATACGTAAAGATACTTTAAAAGACTCCTTCCTATTTTAAGCTATAGATTTCTCTCTCTCTCTTGTATGTGTGTATTTGGGGGTGGGTTTAAGGAGTAGAGGAGGGGGGAAAAGGGTTCAGAAGCTTCCCTGACTTTTCACCTGAAAAGCAAGCAAAGAAATGGACTGTGTCTTTCTTCCGGTCAGTCTACTGTTCAAAGACCACATGGAAAAGCTCTGTATTCTTTGAGTATAGATTGTAGTTTTCCTTCTCCTTTCTCTTTTTCCTTCTCATCCCAACAAACATATATTGGCAATCTGGATACGCACTCACAATGCATTCTCTCTAAAGCTTTGGTAAATTTTAAGTATGATGCTATGCCTGAAGAAATCTAAAATTCTTGTACTGTATCTCTCCTTGAAATCTACGTTGGTTAAATAATAAAAGCAGAGCCAAATGACTGAAACAGTCAGCTTCAGCAGTCTTTAAGCCAACAATTCTGCCCAGAAACAATACTAAACACTACTCCTCTCTGAAGGTCTTCCTCTTTAATAACGTGGACAACTGTACCCACAACTGAATTAAATTGGGTGCTAACTTCAGGTTTAACATTTCAATAGATTCTATTAAAAATTAAAAATTCTTTAAAATGTATTTTAATAGAAATGTAGATACACTAAAAGATAAATCAGCAAGTTAACTAGTCAGTAAGTTATTGATTATATTGTAAATACCTGCAGGAAGAAAATAAGAGTAGGTCGTTAATTCATGATTGCTACTCTCAAGGAGTTGTCTAATAACAAGACATTTACCATACATGAAAATATTTGAGAATATAGCAAACCCAGCAAAGTATCTGCAGAATTATTGCCAAATGGAGAGGCACTCCTTCTTGAAAACACTGGGTGCAATCTTTCAACAAGATTAGTAGAAATACCAAAGGCTTAAAAATACTACGGAGTTCTTTAATGTTATCAAGGTTTTAAATTAACATCTCAGTCTGACTAAAGCTCCAAGTAAAGAGCAAATGATTAACTGTGTCCAGAAAGAGAAGGCAGTGGGGAGTTCTTACACATGCTTTAGAAAACACTGAAAAATCATAACGTGTTAATTCACATGAATTTAGAACCGATTTCTGGATTACAAAAATCCACTCAGTTAACATATGACATCTACTTACTTCAGAATAAATAAATATCATCTCTCAGCAAAGTTATGCTTCTAAGGATACCTCCTTATCAAGCAGTAAGCTTGCAAAATAGAGAAGAAAAGAGAAAAGAAAATACACTAGGTATGTCATTTATCTAGGGCCATCAAGGAATCGTTATCTTTTAGTAAGTGATTTCTCCAGATAGTGAAAGTTCCGTCTTTAAATACAGAAATGACTTTCTAAAACTTTAATGTCTTACATGGAAATCTTTCTAAAATGCCTTCCTACATAATTCATTGAACATAATTCATCCATTCCCAAATGACTCACTTAGTATTACAGGCATCAATCTCTATTCTGCACTTTTAGGAAAGCTCTCAGAGGCTACTGAACTGTACGGAGGATCATTTGCCCCTATGCTAAAATACTGCCCGTACTGCTGTGCTCCTCTAGTTCATCTATAATCTTTTTCATACAGTTAGGCTTATCGATTGTCACTTCTCTCTTCTAATACAGTTAGTTATTAACAGGATGCCAAACTGTTTCCTGCCTCAAGAGACATTGTACATGCCATTTCGTGAGTCTGGTATGTTCTTTCCTTGTCTTAGCCAGGCCGACTCTGATGTTCTAGGCCTTCCCTTCCTAATAATGGCCCCCAGGGTAATATAGGGCACGATTTTAGGGACCTTATTACCTATGCAATATACTTTATTACCTTTGTGGTGATTATTGTCATTCTTCAATTTAAATTTCTTTGTGTTTATTTATTAAGCACCTAATTCCCTAAGCAGACTATAAAGTCCACAAAGACAGTGACCATTTGTCCTTACACACTCAATGCATAGCACTGTGTCTGGTACCTAGAAATACTTGTCCAATAAAGAGAATTCCCCTAAGACTCTACAGCTGTAAAATTCTGAGAATATTAGATTAGACAGATGGGCCATGTTGAATAGAAAGGTGTGCCTGGAAAAACTCTTCCACATGAGAAAAAAAGAGCTCCAGTACTGAACACATACATAATAAAATAAATATAACTAAGACAGCTTTACCAAAACACATGCACAAGACACCTTAGGAAAATGACAGAAAGAAAAGAATAGAACATGTCCTTCTGTTAAAGCTTATGTGTCCCTCTTTGCCTTCCGGGTAACTGTGGCTTCCCTGCCATTTCTTCGCTTCTCTGTTGAAATGATGAAACGTTCAAATTTAAAAGGCTCTTGGAAACTAAAATAAGTAGCCAAGAAATGAGTAGCAATCAATCAGGGCACAGTAGATAAGTTGCGCTCATGATTACAGAGGATAAGAGATGAACCCTTACAGCAGGAAATTACAACATTAAAACACAGACTTTAGCCAACAGCACCTGCCACTTATTTATTTATTTTTAACATAGTCCAAATGTGAATGTTTGTCTCAGTCACAAAATGAGTCACTCTCATTGAATCTGGCACAGATTAAACTGGAAAACAAAAGCAATTACATAAACTACACACTTTAATAAGGCAGATACAAAGGTTCTCTGGATTATGGTACAAAGCACAATTTAGCCACAGAATAAAGCTTGATGCTCGACAAGAGAACTGACATCAGCACCCTTGCTAATCACAGCACAAAAGCTTCTCTATGTTTTGTCAGAGTGCAAAATGGGCCCACATAAATCAGTCTTTGTTATCTGAAAATATCTGGGATTCTTAAAGTTTGCCCTATTTTTATCCTTGCTGCCTTGGTAGCCCCAGAGAAAGCTGTACATTGCCTTACCAATCCTGCAGCAATAACAGACAAAAAAAGGACAAGTTTTCTAGAAATCTTCAAAACCAAATATTCAAAGCAACTTTACATCAAATTCATGTAAAATATCATTTTCAGTACCGGACTTCCATTACAAGCAGCTTTGCTTGAGAGGAACTATGCAAATTTACTTCGTTGTCTTTTCTTACACGCAATACTCATTTTCAATTTTAAATTGAGTAAATGGTGCAGTAATAAGACTTCATCATCAGGTCTACATTTTGAAGTAGCTTAAAAGCACCCTACTCTAGTCCCAGTGTCTTGTCTCAGGGTTTTAAGAGTGACTTTGGCTACTATATTAACATCCAAACAGAAGTCTATATAGTCCATGGATCTCAATGGAAATATATTTAGATGAGATGCCAAACTAAATATCCATAATGCTTGGAGTATCTGCACTGCCACGTACCCATTCCCTGTGTTCAGGGGCTGCCTGCGGGA